GAACCCAGAATCATAGGTTTCTGGCGTGCCAAAGGGACGCTACTCTGTCCAGCGAATCGCGGCGGATCAGATGACTTAGCCACCCGTGCCCTCTCATAAGAAAGAAGATCTAAATGACCTTAATAATGAGAGAGGGATAACATTATTGAACAGTGGCTTTTCCAAGCTCTTTACATCTGTCCTCTCGTCACGATATGGTTGAAATACTGCTGATGTGAAGTTAAATATTAACTCACTCACTCACTCACTCACTCACTCACTCACATCTGTACTCACAAATAGGCTTTCTGAATGGGCCGAAGAGTACAATGTTATATCTGATGCCCAGTATGGTTCCAAACACGGTTATTCAACCATTGATGCAATATTTGGTTTTGTAATCTTTGGTGAACAAACATATATCATTCAAATAGACTATTATACATTTGTAGACCTCACCAAAGCTTTTGACAGTATTTAAAGAAACGGCATGTATGAAATGATTAGACAAGGTGTGCGTGGTAGAATGTGGAAGGTAATACAAAGTATGCATGAGGTTGAAAGATGGTGTCTAAAGTATAATGATTGTGCATCAGATTATTTTCTTATTAGAAAGGGCATCAAACAAGGTGAAATTATGTCACCGATATTTTTCTCATTATTTATTGAGGCTTTAGAAAAAGAGCTACCAGAAAATATTAAAAGTGGATTGTTTATAGATTATATTAAAATATGTTTGATATTATTTGCAGATGATATGATACAACTGTCAGATTCACCACAGAGGCCCCAATCATTATTTGATAGTTTATATGAGTATTGTCGTGATTGGGGGCTTCAAGTTTATGTCGCGAAAACTAAAACAGCGTTGTTTCGACAAGTGGGTAAAATAAGGCATGATGAATATTGGGTGTACATTGGTCAACGGTTGGAGACAACTGACACACTTCATTACCTTGGTTCAACAATTACTTGTTTTGGAAAAGGTGACACAAAAACATTTGCAAGAAGGGGATTGAAACTATGAACAACCTCTTACATTATATAAAGAAATGTGATTTTACACCTAGATTGTGGTGCCAATTATGTGATTCTCTTGTTACATCCACTATGAAGTATAGTTGTGAAATATGGGGCACTGTTAACCTGTTAGAAATTGAACGTGTACATTTAAAGTTTTGTAAATATGTCCTTAATGTTACAAAACGTCATGTACTGCTGCAGTTTATGGTGAACTTTTTCGATATCCGTTGTTCATTTCTTGATTACCCCGTAGGGACCCGGGGTAGAATGTGTCCCCAGCACCCCATTGCTAAAAAACGTTTATGTGGTACTTGTTGCAATACCGTGAATGGCGGTCGGCATTAAGGGGGTAAAACAAGGACTGGTCGGCTCGGAGTCCCCATACTGTGGCTGAGTGGGGCATTCATGGTATCTTAGTGGACTGGCACTATAAAATCGGTATTCGTCTGGACAGGTTCAAGCAAACACACACACGCACGCACACACACACACACACACACACACACACACACACACACACACACACACACACACACGTGCATGCACGTAACTATATAACACCATTAAACCCCATTTAACGCAACGTTAAACCCCATTCACCTCACCACCTCTTGTAAATCGGTTTAATAAACTCTTTAAGCCAACTATCTGCTTAAAACTAAATTAAAGAACACAGTTACAAGTGGAATCAAACATTGTTCAGCATTGATCAGATAATCGTTTTCAATAAAGTCTAATTCAGACGTGTTATTTCCTTTAAAGGGATTTCCACACTATCAATATCTTCAGTGCTATATACTCAATTTCCTTCCATATCATGTAAGCACCTTTCATGTGGAAGGTTTAATTCAACCAAAACACATTCAGGGTCAATGTCATTTTTAATATCTATCAAGTGCATATTGAGTTCATCAATAATATGTTTATCAATTGGTAGATGGTCATACATATTGTTAGTTCTGGCGTTAAAATCAACCTTGTTGTACAAGTTACCATACCTTTGGATGATAGTACAGATTCAGATACGACAACAGCTGAGTAGCTGTAGAGCAACAAATGTTGTACTTGATATAAAAAAACCTCCAAATACTCATCCCGCTTCATAGCTTTTAACTACTTCCTCTTATTTTCCAAGCAAATATTCTTACTTTCTACCCCTCGTCAACGCATATCTCAAAAAGTACAATAGCAGTAATATTTGAAGACCAACTAATGTGTGAAGTTATCACCTCAGGCTATAGGCCGTTTCATACCTGCATGCCAACACACGTCATCATGTTACTAATCACAGCGTCAATTAGGATAGAAAAGATTAGATAGATTGGCGTTATTTAGAGAAAGTGACGACCAAAAGAAACTTTACCATAGTTTTAAATCACTCTTTTTTAAAAACCACAAAAGATGGATGCACAAAGTAAAACGTATTGAAATAATCAAAATCTCAACGAATTCAACATGTAAAATGACAGCCCTACAATATCCGTTATTGGCATGACAGTTGCCCGATTTGAGATTGGGTAGCAAAAACAAGCTGTCATCGTCATGGACAAAGGGGCACACACATCTAAAATCGCTGAAGTTCAAGGACACGTCACAGGCTAACAAGACACGCACAAACTCTCCGGCGTACAGGAACAGTCAGTCGTCTGATAAATAGGGAAAAAGTCCTTCCTTGATTGTATTAAGGATTATGGTTAATCTCTGAGACAGGGATTTGGTGGGACATTTGCTGGACCAAGCACTATATCTCTCCTTGTGCATATTTTTTATGGAACTTGGAATCCAGTACAAAAGAGGAATGGACTTTTCTTCAGGTTTTAGAGTCTTCAAAAGATCATTGTGCTGATGCGTGGTTTTGGCAGATTTCTTCCTCAGTGATCATACTGGCCTTATGTGGAGTATTATTTGATGTGTCACATCTTCCAAGTTCTGTGATCAAACAATTACTGCAGTGATGCTTACATATCATGGTTAGGTTATTTGGGGCCTTAGGAACAACTACAAAGTTTTCATGTAGGGCAGCCAGAATGGGTTAATCTCAATTCTGTTCCTCTTTTTCAGTGTGTGCATACTACCAATGACATCCTCACGCTCTGACTTAACAAACTCTGAAAGAGATTTAAACACTATCATCTTCTCTTTTGGTCCAATTCTTTTGGCATATGCTTCGACAACATTTAATGATTTAAATTTGCGAAAATATAAACTTTGTATTTTGACTTGTACCATATGTTCCCGTGTTTTTTTAGGTAAACATTTGACATGCCTTTGTATGTGTTTGTGACAGATGCAATCGCTTGGGCAGAATACACTCATTTATGCGCGAACATCTGGTATCATCACGTTTAGGGATACATAAACACACGGTCAATGAACTTCGGACTTTTGAACGCAAATCAAAGTTTATATAACAAAAACACATGCTGTATATCACGGCCGATTTCCTGCCCATATGGCACACTCCTTTTTTTAGGAAGCAAAGGATTGTCAGTGTCACACACTTAGATAAAGAAACAATATAAAGCTTAGGGTTCTCAGATCCCTTTCGACATTCTTCACCTCAAGGTAGGTATTGTATGGTTTACTGTAATGCATGATGATTGACATTAATATTTAATGTTATCAAGATTTTGATAATTGTTGTCATATATGGGATAGATCAGAATCAAATATCAGAAAGCTTCACTTGGATGCTTTAAGAACAATTTGCGGCGTTCCAAGAGGCACTTGTCATGATGAAATATGAGAAAACAAAGTTTATTTTACAACTGATCACTCAACAGTTCGTGTAGCTTATTCCCGGCAACCGACAAATCTCCATCATATCCACTAGTATTATATACATGTGGTCTATTTTTAATAGCTCTGTTAAGAGTCTGTAGGGACAGTGGGGTTTAAGGGTAATTGTATAAGAAATTCATGCATTTCTGATTTTGTCTACTTTTTTTGGGTATATGTTTGTTAGTTTGTTGTTTAACGCCGCACTCAGCAATATTCCAGCTATATGACGGCGGTCTATAATCGAGTCTGGACCAGACAATCCAGTGATTGACATCATGAGCATCGATCTACGCAATTAGGATAAAATGACATGCATCAACCGAGTCAGCGAGCCTTTCCACCCGATCCCGTTAGTCGCCTCTTACGACAAGCATACTCGCCTGTTACGTCAAGCATGGTTTCCTGAAGACCTATTCTAACCCGGATCTTCACGGGTCTTTTGGCATATGTGTTTACCCCCGAGACCATAAAATAGATTATATGGTATCTGGTTTCACACATTCTCATTATGTTAGTTGTTCAGTTTTATTTTAAACAAAAACCTTAAATGTGTAATAAAATGTGTGACAAGAATTAAAGGGAGACCCTGAATAATCTACCATGCTTATTCCAAGGGGCTCTAACAGAGTTTATGAATTCCATACGGGAGGTAACCGCATATGAGGCAAAACCAGAGAGAAACATATAAAAGTGGAACTAGAGAACGAATAATGAACGAGTATAATTTTCCATTTAACATTTCTGAAAGCATCGAATGCTGATATTTATACGACAGTGTCCTTGCAGCGTGTTAAATGTTTGAGCGAGAGTTTTTCTTTTACAAATTTCGAAATAATTCGTTTGAATATCTTGTTTAAATATTTTGGAGAAATTATTTTGCATTTTAAATATAATTTGGCGAACAAAGAGTTTGCCACCGTGTTGATGCACTTGTCTTATTGCCACTGTTATTGTATGTATTACTGGAGTAGTATTTATATTAGTCGTACGGCTTGTTTTCGAATCCAATCCCATTCGTCATCACTCGCCCCTTTACGTAACGTAAACCGCTATTCGGCTTGTTCCGGAATAACACGAGTGAGTCACGAAAGATCCAATCCGTGGATAATTTATGGAAATTGAAGTACTGAACAATGATTCGAATACGAGACACACCATCAGCCAGGTGGCAGATTGTGATCACCTCATCTTCATGTTTCTGACGGGCTCTGACGACAATTATGAGCTTCTGGGGCCCAGTCTGATCCCGAGAACGTCGGTCTTTTTTACTTACCTAAAGCAGGAGCGCTGCTATTCGTTTCAGGACTGCACAAAAATGAAGGCCGCTCTTCTCGTTCTCATCCTCCTCCCACTGGCGTGTGGTAGCATCCTTGACAGTGAGTGGTTCTACGTCTTTGTCTGCCCATTGAACAGGTTACTCTTGGGGCTTTTTATAACATATCCTGTCATTCTTCATTCACTTGTGTTGCTTAGCTATAGTGTTGGTAAAAGATTAATAAGTCACATCGATCAAGTAGCCAAATTGTGTATGTGACACCCAATATATGCAACTGATCATTACAAAACATGTAAAACAATACCAATTTCAATGGCGTGCTTTGGGCAGAACAATTACCTGCCCATTGCGTGAAATGAGGAAGCTGCTTGCCCATATTGTGAAATATTTGGAGAATTAGTTTTCATTCACAACTTTTGCCCATTGCATGCAATTAGCAAATAATTGTTTGCACATTGTGTGCATTGGGCAAGCTGTATTGCCCAAAGCACGCAATTGGCAGTTGCACAGATTGGGTGTAACATATATAACAAGTGACTCACACTCGAAGATGGTGGCAGTAAGGTGATACTTTGCATTTGGCACCTTGATAGCATCTTCACTACAGATTATAGGGACCGCCTATTGCCATATGACTTAATGTTGAAGCTTATCATCATGGGTTGAGTGAGCCTGTTTGGCGCAAAGCAACAAAATCCTTTCCATATTAATAAAAACCCGCTTTGAACAGTATTTCAGTAAAGTCACAGCGTGTCAGCTTGATGTGGGAGGAAAACCGGAAGTAATGAATGTCTTTGAAACTGGCGAACCCTATTGGATGATGTCCAATGCGAATTTAGTATTCGAAGCCACAATCATAGGATTCTGGAATGCCTAAGGGACGCAACTGTATTGGCTAGAGGATACCACAAAGGGAGAGTGTTTTCGAGACCCAGTCGATGCAATACTCCACATGTTATAGGATGAAATAAAACCAAAGTCAACTCTATTAACTTTTCATTGATGTTCAGATATTTTTCAAAGAATTAGTACAGCATTCAATTGTTCCTGAATTGTTCCAGCGTTCAAGCACCTGTTCAATACAAATGAGCTGAAGAGTGTTGTCACGAAGATTGTCCATGCCGTGGGAACTGACGCCACTGAGCATGCGTGTGAGGGCGCCTGTCACACGGCACTTCGCGGGCATATCATTTTAGTCCATTCGTGTCCACTCGTGTGCAAATCGTAAGTAACTCACTTATATATTCTGGTAGCATTCGCAATAGTCTATCAAAGAACATAGTAACTTATACCGGAGGTTTACTATGCTTAAATAAATGCTGACAGTTGCAGCAAGATGTAGGATATTGAAACTCCAAATTTGAAATTCAAATATCTGGAAAATGGATTAATGAAAAATAATTAACCCCACACGGTTTAATGTTAAAGACTAAAGATGAAAAAAAGTCCTTTGGGAAATGAAGTAATAGATTTGGGCTATTTGCTTTTTCATTATCTTACAAAATATCCAAGGAAAATAAACATATTTGGACAATATTTTCCTAAGAAAACTGATGGATTGCAAGAAAATGACACTTAAAGCATTTATTTTTCAGATTCCAAGAGCTCGTCCACATGTTCCATCTTCGTTAAGACTTGGAGAATGTTCTTTTGTCCCGTTGAACGGAATAAAGATGTGACAAGTTTTCATTGTGTCAGTTTTCAGATATCAGTTCTATTTGGAGAATAACATGTGAATGCATGATAACAGATGACCAGTTAAAATAATATCTCGTTGTCTCTAAATCGAAGGGGCTAGTTTGTTTGTTTTTTAACGCCGCACTCAGCAATATTCCAGCTATTTGACGGTGGTCTGTAAATAATCTAGTCTGGACCAGACAATCCACTGATTGACATATGCATCATGCGTATCGATCCATGTAATTGGGATACGATGTTATGCATCAACCAAGTCAGCGAGCCTGACCACCCGATCCTGTTAGTCACCTCTTATAATTACGACAAGCATAATTTGCTGAAGACCAGTTCTAACCTGGAATCTTCACGGGACCAAAGGGGAGAGGCGTGGGTGGCCATTCGTCTAAGGTCCGGAATTCGCTGTGTAGAGTTGCGTTCTTTGTGTGTGCCAGAAACCTATAATCGAGAAAATGATTACCAGATTTGTTTTGATTATCATCCTTGGTTTGACAGCGACATACTCATGATTGAGGACTAATAAGGAGGAAGATCAGAAACTCTGAAATAGGTTTTCAATATCAATACACGCGACAATTCCTTTTCCAAATTCTTGAGGCGATTGTCATCTCACACAAGAGGTATTTTTAGATACATATTTTATTCTGATGACATGGAAACAGTTTCTGCTTATTTTCTGAAACTAAAAGGAAAAACACGCTGACAGTTTACTTATTACTTCAAAACAGATTAGCATGTTCGTGAGAAAAGCAGGTTGTCTTGAAGTCTCACATTTTGTGGGATTTATAGTGAAATCCCGAAGGTCCCATTTCCAGGGAAACCATTCAATAAACCAACTTTCCAGACTCACAAATAATATTTTTGGAGTAATGTCACTTTGTATGCATCAAGGCATCTTCAACAGTAATAAGCCGGAGGGTGGGTTTTCTGAATTAACTGGGTTTCACCCAAAAACCGCCTATGACAAATCAAACTGAAGGAAACAAATTGAGTCATGGTAGTTTCAAGATACATGGAATTCGAAATTAAAGCGACAAAACCCTTAACTTGTTCATAAGAGTGAATGAGTGAGTTGGGTTTAACGCCGCTTTTAACATTATTCCAGGTATATCACATCGTGTTAGCTTAATGTGGGAGGAAACCCAAAGTGAAGCAGGTCTCAGACGTTTACCACTTCGGTGAAACCCACGAGCACGGGTATGGTGCTGACAAACCAAGAAATATGATCGGGGCAAAACGGGATTCGAACCCACGACCATATGTTTCTGGCGTGCCCAAGAGACGCAACTCTGCAAAGCGTATCGCGACGCTTTAGACGACTGGGCCCCCATGGTCCCCCTATTCATAAGAAACATCTGGCAAAACAGAGTCGATTGTACGATTCCGTCTATATTATGAGCACGTGTTTAAGAATCACTATCAAATTGTGATGATAGCAGGTGATCGCTAAAAGGTGGGCTTATCCTGCTTTAACGGTGGCATCCGTCACTAACACATGTAAAGGCAAGTCAATTGTTCGCATGAAAAAAAAAACACGGGAACATATGTTACAAGTCAAAATAGGGAATTGCTCCGGACATCATTTTTGTCTGTGATGCGTCAAATTTGGAAATGTCTCCACATGTCTACCAAAAACATTTTGATAGCTTTACTGAGGCCTTGGGTGTTATTACCCTGATCAAACAACTTAGAAGCAAAAGGTGTATGACGCTATTTGAAATCTTGGTAGAAAGATCATGCTCGACTGTTCCTCAAAAGTAGTGAAATGTAGACATCAAGGGCTGGAGCAGCAGGAACATTCCAGGACATGAAGGGAAAGTTGAAGTCATCCCTCTTGTCATACAGTCTTGTTGAGAGTGTTTTGTCACTCTGAATCTTTATGCATAGATCTAAATATGAAACAGATGATGCGGTGTCACTGGTTTCCTATATTTCTAGTTCAGGTTGGTAAATCAGTGGAAGGGAATTGGTTATTTGATTGTTATTGAACCATATCTGATCATCCATATGTACAATTCAAAACTATGGTAGTTGAATATTTCCTTCTCATGTGACATTCAGGAAAAGAAAATATATATACCAAATATTTTCTAGATGTGACAAATAATATAATGATACTGAGAGATAATTTTCAAAAGATAAAGTTTCTTAGAATTGTTTGAAGTACAAAGCCTCTGAAGTTTGCATGGTAGAGCTGCGCCAGATTTGTAGATATTGATCTTTAGAGAATTCCTCTACCTTTGAAACCAGCCATTGTGTAGAAAATATATACAGGTTAACAATTCAGTAAGTCCTAAGTGTTTTTTTAATAATATAAATCCATGGGAGTTTATCAGCAATATATGGTTTTCATTAAGAAACATAAACTGGTATAAAAAGGGCCTTTTGAGAAAAAAGAAAAATACAAATAGAAAACCATAGAACTACGAGACCATGAGAATTTTGAAAATATGTTAAATCATTAAAAAGACGTTTGGATAACATACCAACTTGTGATGACTTTATGACATATTTTAAAGATCTATATTCATCTCTCAACAGTAACTGTACTGTAAGTAACAACGTGGATGATGTGATAAGCAACCATCTAGAGTCTTATAATGATATGATATACCCTGAGCTTGAGGCGCCATTTCTGATCTTAGAATACAACAAATCTTGTTGAGCTGACTTTGTTCTACATGAATGTTTTTTAATGTGGCTGTGATTTACTTATGCCGAACATAACAATATTGTTAAATAAAATTTTCACACTTGGTGTGTTTACGAGAGCATGGACTGAAGGAAGTATTATTCCAATTCATTAGAAAAGAGTGACTGAGTGAGTTGGGTTTAACGCCACTTTTAACAGTATTCAAGTTATATCGCATAGTGTCAGCTTAATGTGGGAGGAAAGACCGAAGTGATGCAGGTCTCAGACGTTTACCACTTCGGTGAAACTCACGAGTACGTGTATGCTGCTCACAAACCTAGCAATATAATTGGGGCGAACCGGGATTGGCACTCAGAATCATAGGTTTCTGGCGTGCCAAAGGGACGCTACTCTGCACAGCGAATCGCGGCGCCCGTACCCTCTCATAAGAAAGAAGATCTAAAAGACCTTAATAATTAGAGAAGGATAACATTATTTAACAGTGGCTTTTCCAAGCTCTTCACATCTGTACTCACAAATAGGCTTGCTGAATGGGCCGAAAAGTACAATGTTATATCTGATGCCAAGTATGATTTCAAGCACGGTTATTCAACCATTGGTGCAATATTTGTATTAACAATCTTTGGTGAACAAACATATATCATTCAAATAGACTTTTATACATTTGTAGACCTCACCAAAGCTTTTGACAGTATTTAAAGAAGGGGGTTGAAAGCTATGAACAACCTCTTACATAATACAAAGAAATGTGATTTTACACCTAGATTGTGGTGGCAATTATGTGATTCTCTTATTACGTCCACTATGAAGTATAGTTGTGAAATATATGGCACTGTTAACCTGTTAGAAGTTGAACGTGTACATTTAAAGTTTGGTAAATATGTACAAGTACAAGCAACACACACACACACACACACACACACACACACACACACACACACACACACACACACACACACACACACTAACACACACACACACACTAACACACACACAATAACACACACACACGTGCATGCACGTAACTATATAACACCATTAAACCCCATTTAACGCAACGTTAAACCCCATTTCAGCTCACCACCTCTTGTAAATCGGTTTAATAAACTCTTTTAGCCAAATATCTGTTTAAAACTAAATTAAAGAACACAGTTACAAGTGGAATCAAACATTGTTCAGCATCGATTTGATAATCGTTTTCAATTAAGTCTAATCCAGACGTGTTATTTCCTTTAAAGGGATTTCCACCCTATCAATATCTTCAGTGCTATATACTCTACTTCCTTCCATATCCTGTAAGCACCTTTCATGTGGAAGGTTTAATTCAACCCAAACTCATTCAGGGTCGATGTCATTTTTAATATCCATCAAGTGCATATTGAGTTCATCAATAATATGTTTATCAATTGGTAGATGGTCATACATGTTGTTAGTTCTGGCGTTAAAATCAACCTTGTTGTACAAGTTACCATACCTTTGGATGATAGTACAGATTCAGATACGTCATCAGCTGAGTAGCTGCAGAACAACAAATGTTATACTTTATAAAAAAACACTCCCAATACCCATCCCGCTTTATAGCTTTGAACTACTCAATCTTATTTTCCTAGCAAATATTCTCAATTGCTACCCCCGTCAACGCAGATCTCAACAAGTACATTAGCAGTAATATTTGGAGACCAACTTGGGTGTGAGGTCATTACCCTCAGGCGAAAGACCGTTTCATTACCTGCATGACAACACACGTTTATCATCATTTTACTAATTGGGATAGTATAGATTGGCAAGATTGGTGTTATTCATCGTGATGGACAAAGGGCACGCACATCTAAAATCGCTGAAGTTCAAGGACACGTCACATTAATAGCTTCTACCCCCTGCTTACAAGACACGCAAAGACTCTCCGGCGCACAGAAACAGTATAGAATAGTGATGAATAGAAAGAAAGTCCTTCCTTGATTGTATTAAGGATTATGGTTAATAAACGGTCCATAAACGCAAGTTCAAAGAACTTCGGACTTTTGAACGCAAATTAAAGATAATGAAAAACACATGCTGTATATCACGACCGAATTCCTGCCTAACTGACACACACCTTTTTTGAGGAAGCATAGGATTGTCACTGTAACACACTTAGATAAAGAAACACTATAAAGCTTAGGGTTCTCAGATCCCTTTCGACATTCTTCACCTCAAGGTAGGTATTGTATGGTTTACTGTACTGCATGATGATTGACATTAATATTTAATCTTATCAAAATTTTGATTATTGTAGTCATATATGGGATAGATCAGAGTCGAATTTAAGAAAGCTTCACTTAGATGCTTTAAGAACAA